TATAGACTAGACTATAGACTAGACTATAGACTAGACTATAGACTAGACTATAGACTAGACTATAGACTAGACTAGACTAGACTATAGACTAGACTATAGACTAGACTATAGACTAGACTATAGACTAGACTATAGACTAGACTATAGACTAGACTATAGACTAGACTATAGACTAGACTATAGACTAGACTATAGACTAGACTATAGACTAGACTATAGACTAGACTATAGACTAGACTATAGACTAGACTATAGACTAGACTATAGACTAGACTATAGACTAGACTATAGACTAGACTATAGACTAGACTATAGACTAGACTATAGACTAGACTATAGACTAGACTATAGACTAGACTATAGACTAGACTAGTTATCTAGAAGCTTACCAAGAGTGGCTATTAGTTGCAGGTTTCCCAAATCCTCTAATATTGAGTCTATTGAACACTTTTCAATCAATACCGCATTTAAAAAAAAGTCTGGTCACTTGATTTTCCTTCTACTACATATCGTTATATCTCCAGCAAATTTCCCATGTGATCTCAACTGTAAAACTTGCCTCTCTCTCTTATTCTCACTCTCTCTCTCTATTTCTCTAATGTTTTATATTAGAAACCGTTTTTTTTTTTTTCTTTCTATATTTGTCTTCACTAGGTTTTCTTTTCATTTTTCTTTAAGAGTTTTCCATTTCGTTGCAATTGATTACATAACAATTCAAAAAACAAAATTGAACATCATCATCATCACCAACAACAGCAACAACAAACAGCACAAACACCAATACTAATAACAACTGTTGTTTGTTGCTGTATACATATGAATAGAAAGGTGCGCATGCGCAATGTTGTTGTGCTATTGGTTGCTGGTATTCTTTTTTTTGGAAGAACACACGTTTAAACAAATGTTTTTCTTTTCTATTATTTTTTTCATACTTTTCCTTATTTATCACTTTTGTGGTTACTTTTTTTAAATTTTTCCAGATTTTCTTTCTTTTATTTGTTACAACATTTTTATGCAGTTATTTAATGTTGCACTAACGTTGTTGTATGTTGAACATAATATTTCCTCATGCTTTATCAAGTAGACGTGTGGTAAACATAGGCGACTGTATGTGTATGTGTGTGCAACACACATTCAACTTAATACATACATGTTGCTGTTGCGAGTTATTCGCCTGCAATTTACTTTTGCTGGTCTATTACTCACTATTCACTCAACTTTTTGCAGTCACTTTTTTTGTTGTTGCTGTTACTTTTGGATTTTAGCTGGTATTTCGATTATGTAAATTGTTGTTATTCGTTGTTGCATTAAATTTTTGTTTACAGATACATGTACGTATATACATACATATTATGTATGCATGTATGTCTGTTTGTTTGTTGCATTTATTTTATTTATTCATATACACCGAGTGTTACACATCATGAAAATGTGGAAAATAGTAGTTAATAAATGAAAATAATAAAAAAAGAAAAACAAAATTAATTACAATTGTTGCTGTTGTTGAATTGAAGGAAGGCGGTTGATATATAATTGAAAATGCATATAAAACCTTTTTCGAAAATAAACGTGACTTTTAGGTTAAATGTTAAAAATTGCAAATTATTGTGACACTAGGGTGTGTGTTGTATGTTGTTGTAGCTGTGAGCCATTAAATTTTATAGGATATTTGACAATTTAACAGATGTTGCAACTTCCTTTAGGAGAAACAATTAACTAAAGACCACCCTTGGAGCTTAAATTCACGATTGCAATATGATAAGACCACCAGCAGTTAATTATCAAGGAGTATTTAAACATATCGAAATTTTATTTAAACTATTAGAAAGGTATATGGAGAGATAGATAGATAGATAGATAGATAGATAGATAGATAGATAGATAGATAGATAGATAGATAGATAGATAGATAGATAGATAGATAGATAGATAGATAGATAGATAGATAGATAGATAGATAGATAGATAGATAGATAGATAGATAGATAGATAGATAGATAGATAGTAGATAGATAGATAGACTAGATAGATAACAGATAGATAGAATAGAATAGATAGATAGATAGATAGATAGATAGATAGATAGATAGATAGATAGATAGATAGATAGATAGATAGAAAGATAGAAAGATAGATAGATAGATAGATAGATAGATAGATAGATAGATAGATAGATAGATAGATAGATAGATAGATAGATAGATAGACAGATAGATAGATAGATAGATAGATAGATAGATAGATAGATAGATAGATAGATAGATAGATAGATAGATAGATAGATAGATAGATAGATAGATAGATAGATAGATAGATAGATAGATAGATAGATAGATAGATAGATAGATAGATAGATAGATAGATAGATAGATAGATAGATAGATAGATAGATAGATAGATAGATAGATAGATAGATAGATAGATAGATAGATAGATAGATAGATAGATAGATAGATAGATAGATAGATAAATAGATAGATAGATGATAGATAGATAGATAGATAGATAGATAGATAGATAGATAGATAGATAGATAGATAGATAGATAGATAGATAGATAGATAGATAGATAGATAGATAGATAGATAGATAGATAGATAGATAGATAGATAGATAGATAAACAATTAGGGTATAAAGAAATACTAAAATAATTGCGTATATATCACAACCGAAAATTAAACCATAAATTTTTTCCTCACACAAAAAAAAGCGAAAGCAACTAAATTTTAAATTGCAAAAATCTTCCAAGTAGACTATAGACTATCGAACGTACATTTGCGCAGTTATCGATGGAAACTTGATGAAAGTCAATAAATTAAAAGCGTTTTTTCCATACAGAACACACACAACAATGTATTGTACATTATTAGTAGTGGGCTTATACGATTTGATATGGTGTCCGTCTAACTGTCTGTCTTTTTTTTTTCAAAAAGTACACATTTATTATTAGAGGTAATATTTTAAAGTACTTTTTGTATTGCAACATGAATAGATTTAGAGGGGCGGTTGTTGGTTAAGTTTAAATAACTTTAGTAACTTTAACTTCAATACAATGTTTCCTTGCAGCAACAATAACAACAACAGCAATCAAATAGAAAAAAGGTCTTTTGTGTTAGCTTTTGGTGCTTGTATGGAGTGTTTTAATAACAGTACGTAACAAAATTGAACGAATATTAAGTATACATTTTTAAGCAAAGTTTTAATTAAAGTTAACTATACGATAAATTAAAAAATTTCTGTTTCACTTTTGTGCGTCACTGTACTTACTCGTTCACTTATATTTGCACTTTGAATGCATTTTAAAATGTATTTTCCTAGTTTTCTGTTTTTATTTTTCATACATATTTCTTTCTAATGTTTCTATTGTAAGTATCTGCATATTAAGTGATGTTATTGTTGTTGTTGCTGTTAGTTTTACTTTGACTGTTAAGTGTAGATGCCTTGATGAAGATAAAACCCAATAAAGGAAGTTTTTAATAGAGACCCTAGCGTGTCTCCCTCTCTATGTGTGTATACAATTGTATTAGAGAAAAAAATGACAATAGAAGTATGCAAAAAAAAAAGAAAAAAAAAACACAAGTAATAAAATTACAGCGGAGCATTGAACGTTAAGAATAAATACACAGAAAGAAACTTTTGTAAAGGAAAATTTTAACCCTAAAAGGTATTTAGCATTTTTTTTTAAATATATTGTTTTAAATTATAAGAAAATATTTAATTATTGTATAGTTTTTCATAAACATTTTTCTAAGTGTTTTGTCTATTAAAAGTTTTTTCTTTTCAATTCTTTGTAAATGTAAATTTTGCTGCTGTTATGTTTTCGTTTGCCGGTATACATGCATGGATGTCTATGGATATGTAGGTGTGTCATTTGCAACAATTGCATATTTTCTTGCTGTTGTTGTTTTTTTAATTTTTTTTTCTTGAATTTGCTGTACTTTTAACTGCCTCTTGGTTGGTGCCTTAGCAGGAGTCAAATAATGAAATCAATAAACCGATTATTGATTTGAATAAATAACAAACATTTGAAATTTTAATTTTTTTTAAACTAACCCTGTCTCCTGGTTGTCGTATATATAAATACATATTTAGTTGTAAGTGTATAATTGTTGTTTTGGTTTGTGGTACGTTGAGGGTCTTTGAGTTGAATTGAGTAACAGTATTAACGGTGATAATTTGCAATGAAAATTTGAAATGTAGGGAGAGTTTCATAGGTGTAGTAATGATAAAATTAAATTGAAGAAATTTAATACAATTAGAATAAACAAAAGGATAATTTTTAACCAAACAACTAAAAAAATCATTTTAATATTAATTTGTAATTTATGAAAAAATTAATCATACGCAAAGTAGGTCAAGAAAGAGGGAGCATGAAAAAATATTAATCATACGTACATATGTGACAAGACAATGGACTTGGCTGTTGAGGAGATTGTAGACTAGACTATAGATTAGACTATAGACTAGACCGTAGACTAGACTATAGACTAGACTATGGACTAGACTATAGACTAAACTGTGGACTAGACTATAGACTAAACTGTGGACTAGACTATAGACAAGGCTATAGACTAGACTAGGCTATTCACTATACTGTGGATTAGAATAAAGACTAGACTGTATACTGTACCTCTGGATATTAAGATTAAATTTAGATTAGAAATCTCAATAAGTTGCTCTTCAACGGTTGTTCTAATATATGTACGTATGATTAATATTTATTTATTACTCACTCTTGCCCCGCACTACGTATGATTAATATAACTTTTAAATAGCTCATTCTAATTTAATAAAATTTCGTTTGTTAGTTCATAGATAGTTCAGTCTATAACTTTTAAATTTTATATATTATCTTGTTTTCCCTATAAACCCATTTGGATTTTCCGTACTGTTAACCTACTCTACGTATGATTAATAATACTTTTTTTATAAATGTTTCTTCAATAAAATATTAACTTTCCCTTTTTTAACTCATTTCACTTTCTTTCTTTATTTCTAGAACATCAACAACAACAAACAACACATCAAACCCATCATCAACAGCAAACATCACAACAACAGCAACTTCAGCAGCAACAACAACAATCGCAACAGCAACCAACAACTCCACAACAGCAGCAGCAACAACAGCAATCATCGTCCCAACAATTTGCCATTGCGGATTCCAATTCGAACAGTGCAGTGGCAAAATCATTTGTTCCATGTAAAGTTTGTGGTGACAAAGCATCCGGTTATCATTACGGTGTAACATCCTGCGAGGGTTGTAAGGTTCGTGGTAAATGTGTTTAAAGGCAAATTTTTTAAAATATTTGTCATATAAAATTTTTTTGTATATTAAATTTTTATTGTAAATTTTAATAAATTCTTTTCTTTTTTCCTTTTAAATAGGGTTTCTTTCGTCGTAGTATACAAAAACAAATTGAATATCGTTGCTTAAGGGACGGCAAGTGTCTGGTAATACGTTTGAATCGTAATCGTTGTCAATATTGTCGTTTTAAGAAATGTCTATCAGCTGGTATGAGTCGAGACTGTAAGTACTTAATAATAAGTTTTTTTATATGTTTTTAAGATATAGTAATTTTAAGAATTTTAGAATATGATAAATCAAAATTTTAGTCGAATTTGGTTTCGAGTTGGCATTGCCATTGGCAATCCATGTCGTGAGAATTTTGTTAAATTCTTCTTTTTATATGTAGTTATTTATGAAGACAAGCAGGACTAAAAAAGTACCAAATGGGGATAAATGGGGAAAAACACTGTATTTACTTTTTACGTATTTATAAGTTTGATAAACAATTTTGTTTTGTCAGATTTGAATATTAAGAACCGTGATATATTCACAAAATAATGTACCTTTTGGTACGTTTTCGTTCCCTTATAGTACATAACTCACTCAAAGGTGTTCATGTAGAAATTCAAACTTTAATAAACAATTGTAAAATTATTTCTTTCAAAGTGAAATCCTGTAAGTATAATTGGTAATAAAAGGTACCAGAAACTCCCTTTTTATAAATTTTCATACAATGAGGGCGTTTCTTGGTTTATTTAATATGAAAAAAGAATCAAAAAGTACAAATTGAAGATTGAAAAAGTACCAAAAAGTCCTCTTCAATAAGTTCTCATTTCAATATTATAGAAAACTCAAAAAGTATATTTTGAAAAACGAAAAAGTACCAAAAAGTTTACTCATATAAATTTTCATTCCATCTGGGTCCTATATATATTATATATCAAAAAAAGTACAACTTGAATGACAAAAAAGTACCTTTAACTCTCGTTTTATAAACTCTGATTCAATCAGTAGGTTCAATATATTAAATATTCAAAAAGTACCAATTGAAGAACAAAAAGTACCAAAAAATTCGCTCTTATATATTATCAGGCCATCGGGGTATGTCGTATTATAGGTTCAATATTGCATAAAAAGCTAAAAAGTACTAGTTAATTAACGAAAAAGTACCAAAAAATTCTTTCCAACAGATTTACATTGGAATGTTTAATTTTATGTTTTTAGATTTGATATTAACAAAAATTTCAAAAAGTACCTTTTGCAGATGCAAAAAGTATCAAAAAGTCCCCTTTTATATGTGCTCTCTTAAAATGGACTCTATATGCTTAATTTCATGTTTCTAGGTTCAATTTTATAAAATATTCCAAAAGTACATTTTGAATAGCGAACAAGTACCAAAAAGTACTATTTTATAGGTTCTCATTTACTTCGGGCTTTACAAGTTTAATTTAATGTTTCCATGTTGAATATTTTGAATCTTTTGAAGTACAAAAAATTCCCCTTTTATAGGTTCTCATTTACTCCTGGCTCTACAAGTTTAATTTCATGTTTTTAGGTTCAATATTATAGAGAATTCAAAAAAGTATCTTCTTGAGGAACGAAAAAGTACCAAAATGTCCAATTTTAAAGGTTATGCGGGCTCTACATGATTAATTTCATTTTTATAAGTTCAAAATTATAGGAAATTTAAAAAGTACCTTTTTTAAGAATGAAAAAGTACCAAAATATCCCTTTTTATATGTTTTCAGTAAGAAAGTACTTTGTTTATATGTTTATGGTTACTATTAACCTATAGACTATATTTCTGAAAAAATGAAACCTACAAATGGTACTTTTTGAAATAAATTACTCTAGAAATACAAAATTTTGTATTTATGTATATTTCGGACTAAGTACTTTTTCATGTAATGGAGGGATGACATGATCTACAGAAGAAATTTTATTTCTAATCTAATTTACAGAATATTTTTCTATTGGAAACTAAAGTGATTGTGTTAATAATCCACAGAAAAAGTATTTTTCTAAAGAAAACTTTATAGAGAAACTTTTTTCATACTTTTTGTATAGAATCTAAAGCTATCCATCTCAAAAAAGAAAAATGTTTCTGTATAGAAATGAATAAAGAGAAGGTCTTTGTACGTATATAATGTAACGAGATCTCTAAATATCCTTTGGAGAAGACATTTGAGTAAAACATGTGATTTTAATAACATTTTTGAAAAGTTCCTTTTAAAATACTGTTGCAATTTCAAAATATCAAATTAAAAACTAACAGTCTTAATCGAATCATATCCATCTAATATTGAATTATAACAAATAACCTTACAAATAAATATTGAACCCATAACGAAACCCCAATATTCTCATTCAAATTTGCAACACTGTCAATCAACCTATGTAGATACGTAGTATGTTTGTATGTAACCATCAACATAACACGAAGTCCACCTTTAACTTTTAATAGATCTTAACAATAATTGATTTTCTATCAATTCAACTGTGATTGTGATTTGATGTGGAAAATACCCTGATGACCATTTGTTATAGACATTTGCAAAATCATGACAAAATTCTTTTTTTCGTTAAACAAAACTAAATTGAGGCAATTTAATTACAACAACTAAAAATCAAAGCAAATGCCTAACGATTTACATATAGTAGAGGATTTGTAAAAACAACTAAAACTACTTTACTTAACTAAACATTATGCTTAAGTTTTAAACATGGCCACATAAATACAATAGTTAAAATGTCTTGCAACATGTAGTAAGTTTGATTTAATTTTATTTTTTTTTGCAATTTTCATTCGTCATTCACACTAAATGGAAAACAAATGCAAACGTTCTTGTTTGGCTTTACAAAATTTGTTTTGTTTAGAGTGCTGTTGTTGTTGCAGTTTATATTTTTCTTAATTGTTGTTGCAGTTATAGTTTTTGTTGTTGTTTTATATATTTGACGCATGGTGACCTACTTATCACAAAACTTTACAATTTGGTAGTAATTTTACAACAAACAATTTACCAACCAACCAAGCAACCACCACCATCATCATACAAGAGTCAAGCATTGGTGTAATTGGGGTGATTTAAAGGAATGATTTCTCTAAAAGACATTTTTCTTGACAAGACATTATTCTATAGAAAAAGTGTCTTCTTGACAAGACATTTTTCTATAGAAAAAGTGTCTTCTTGACAAGACATTTTTCTATAGAAAAAGTGTCTTCTTGACAAGACATTTTTCTATAGAAAAGTGTCTTCTTGACAAGACATTTTTCTATAGAAAAAGTGTCTTCTTGACAAGACATTTTCTATAGAAAAGTGTCTTCTTGACAAGACATTTTTCTATAGAAAAAGTGTCTTCTGACAAGACATTTTTCTATAGAAAAAGTGTCTTCTTGACAAGACATTTTTCTATAGAAAAAGTGTCTTCTTGACAAGACATTTTTCTATAGAAAAAGTGTCTTCTTGACAAGACATTTTTTCTATAGAAAAGTGTCTTCTTGACAAGACATTTTTCTATAGAAAAAGTGTCTTCTTGACAAGACATTTTTCTATAGAAAAAGTGTCTTCTTGACAAGACATTTTTCTATAGAAAAAGTGTCTTCTTGACAAGACATTTTTCTATAGAAAAAGTGTCTTCTTGCCAAGACATTTTTCTATAGAAAAAGTGTCTTCTTGACAAGACATTTTCTATAGAAAAAGTGTCTTCTTGACAAGACATTTTTCTATAGAAAAAGTGTCTTCTTGACAAGACATTTTTCTATAGAAAAAGTGTCTTCTTGACAAGACATTTTTCTATAGAAAAAGTGTCTTCTTGACAAGACATTTTTCTATAGAAAAAGTGTCTTCTTGACAAGACATTTTTCTATAGAAAAAGTGTCTTCTTGACAAGACATTTTTCTATAGAAAAAGTGTCTTCTTGACAAGACATTTTTCTATAGAAAAAGTGTCTTCTTGACAAGACATTTTTCTATAGAAAAAGTGTCTTCTTGACAAGACATTTTTCTATAGAAAAAGTGTCTTCTTGACAAGACATTTTTCTATAGAAAAAGTGTCTTCTTGACAAGACATTTTTCTATAGAAAAAGTGTCTTGTCTTCTTGACAAGACATTTTTCTATAGAAAAAGTGTCTTCTTGAAATGACACTTTTTCACAAGACGGGATTAAGTAGTAATAAGTCAAAGGTAATTCGCGAATAAATTCTTTTAGCATATCTGTATTGGAAAAACTCATGTAAATCTACCAAATATTTGTGGTTGTGTTAGTTTTATAACACAAACTAATACCACTGCAATAACATACCAGCATTCAACAAAGCTGCAATCTTGTATTCGTAGTTTCTGTATTTCTGAAATTTTCTATTGTTTTCCACTGCTGCCAGCCGAAGAAGAAGAAGAAGTAGTCCAAAGTACAATTGCAGCGATTTTTGTTGATTTTTGCATCATGGTTTTTCATTTGTTTCTTTGTATTCCTATAATAATTTTGCGAATGTCTTTAAGCTGAATTTTGTGGTAATTTAACGATTTTTTTCTGTTGTTTCATTTTGAGGTTAAGTAATAAGAAACTCTGTTTCAAAGATTTTGTAACGTAAGTATTTCAATTTGAAAAACTTTAAAGTTTTTTTTTCTCAATATTTCTGTCAGACAGTAATTTTTTAGTTTTGTGTTTCTGTGTGTATGTATGTGTTTGGTTAAATTGCTGATTTTAAAGAAATAAAACTTGCCACTCACTTACTTGCCACACTTATAATGTTGCTGTTATTGCTGTTGTCGGTTGGTTGTTTGTAGCTTTTTGTTCGCATTATTGTGTTTTTAATACTACTTTGATGAATTCCTTTTTTCCAATTTGATTGACATTTAGCGTTGTTGTTGCAATTCTTGTATGGTTAGCAAGTTATTGATTACATGTTTTCAAACATTTTTGGAATTATTGTTTGCTTGGAATTGTAAAATTATATAATTATGTTTTTGTTGTAAGCTAGGTTTAGTTGATTTTATGAA